TCACATGTACTGCACACTAAATGTCAACCCATCAGTAGTACAAACATACCGACAGTTCACATGTACTGCACACTAAATGTCAACCCATCAGTAGTACAAACGCCCGACAGTTCACATGTACTGCACACTAAATGTCAACCCATCAGTAGTACAAACACCCGACAGTTTACATGTACGGCACACTAAATGTCAACCTATCAGTAGCACAACCACCCGACAGTTCACATGTACTGTAAACTGTATGCCAACCCATCAGTAGCATAAACACCCGACTGAATGATCACATGTACTGCACACTGTACATCAACCCACCAGTGATTCACGCACCCCACACACGCATGAGATACCCAAACCAGAACGAACTCGCCCACTGTGACCGAAATAAACCGCTGGAGTTACTATGACAGCCACCTCCAGTTACGGAAACCCCTGCAATGAAGGCCCTACACACGGTACGCTCAAAGACACCCCCACCATATAGCAACAAATACACAACAGCTTTGCGTGTACATAACCACACACTCTATTGCTCACATCCCCACGCCATGTACGCCCACCATATCCCCATCCATGAGATACCAACGCCAGCAATAGGTGGTGTAGGCAGGAAAGGAAGCACGACGCAGCAAACTAACATCAACAATGAATTCTGCTAGACACACAGTACACACGGCATATGATTAGATGCAACGACCATGGTGCTCTACAGGCCATAGCAATAGTACACCTGACGCACACCACACATACCATATCATACCATACCAACGACACGCCTAACATACATCCCACACACCACACATACCATACCATACCATACCATCGGCACGCCTAACACACATCCCACACACCATATTCTCACTCCAGAACTCGTCGTCGGTCAGAGTGCCTCCCCCCACCAGCTGTCTGTGCAGTCGCTTGAGACTCTCGTCTGTGTTGAGGGCTGTGAGCTTTTGTTTCTGCTCCAGTGTTAAGTTATCGAAGTGCTTCTGCCGATCCTCGGGCTTCAGCCGCTTGAACATGAGAGTCACTAGCACGTCTCGACATTTGTTCATAAGTTCCTGTGCGTGTGTGTTAGTATAAGAGGGTATCACTATATGGCATCAGGGTCTTCCCTTGTGCATGTGTAGGATGTAGGTAACTATCGTCTGTATATGTGTTCTGGGTTTACCCAGATGTATTTGCACGGTATGTAGGAATTGGTCAGGAGTGTATGAAAGTGTGTATAGGGACATACGTATCCACCAATGCGCATCACGTGGCAAGCAGCCACGCACAACAAATTTTCATACGTTATATTAATACTTGAGATTTTAAACGTATGCAGGAGATAGGCACGTTCCGACAAACCTGGGCATTCGATTGTGCTTCGGGGAAGATAAATGTGTACGGCACATCTTTAGTCTCTCCCGTTTTAGTCTTGAAACTGCGTTTAATCTGCAACTTGACCTGTTTTGCTCCCGGTTTTCCCGGGCGTACATTTGTGATGTCCTTAATGGGAATCATTATAACCTGCAGACACATGTGCGGTAGTCATGAGAGGTGTATGGTGGTGCAGTTATTCATGGAAATCATTATGACCTGCAGACACATGTGCGATAGTCATGGGAGGCATATGGTGGTGATGCTATTCATGAGAATCATTATAACCGGCAGACACATATGCGATAGCCATGAGATGTATATGGTGGTGATGTAATTGATGATATGAGTGACATATACTAGTTGTGTATGTTAGAGTTATACATTAGTTGTGTATTTTAGTGTTGTATATTAGATGCGTATCATGGTGATATACACTAGATGTTGATACACATTAGTTGTGTATTTTAGTGTTATATATTAGATGTGTATCTTAGTGCTATACATTAGTTGTGTATGTGAGTGATACACATTAGTTGTGTATTTTAGTGTTATATATTAGATGTGTGTCTTAGTGCTATACATTAGTTGTGTATGTGAGTAATATACAATAGTTGTGTACTTTAGTGTTATATATTCGTTGTCTGTTTGAGTGATATACACTAACTGTGTATTATAGTGTTATACATTAGTTGTGTATTTTAGTGTTTTACACTAGTTTATGCATTTTAGCGATATACACTAGTTGTGTATATGAGTGTTTTACACTAGTTGTGTATTTTAATGTAATTTGATAGTCGTGTATTTGAGTGCTATACATTAGTTGGGTATTTTAGTGGCATATACTAGTTATGTATATGAGTGATATAAACTAGTTGTGTATTTAAGTGTTATCTGCGACGAGAATCAAACAATCTGCGCGTATATATCGACGAATATGTGTAAAACACCAGCACAGCAGTAGTAGTTAGGTACGCAGCAAACCGTGAGATACGGTTGTCTATGATGGACACTCGAGATCAGATTTAGCCAGAATAATACAGCACCAGAAACAGTATACCAAGCAAGACTCGACATTAGCTACTAAAACCACAACACAATGTGAAACCATACCTTATCGGATCCCTGTTGTACAAAGTAGATACCCTCACTGAAAATAAACAGTCCGATAGTCCAGTCTGTGTCTTTTCTGACGAGTTTAACATTGCACTCGAACAGATTCTGTTCGTCGGGTGTTGCGGATAGCACAATGCTACGACCAATGGTCTCGTGGTCGTTGGCATTATTCATAGTGCCACAAGTCTTGTAGCTATGCGATGGCCCTCTCACTATCTCGCCGAAATCCTTCGAATGGCTCATACAAGTGTACATTAATAAGCGCTACGCTAAGACTGTGCTCACCATAAGCGTTTAAACGGGAGTGGAGAAGGATACTACCAACATTGAGTACAACCGCTCTATTGCAAGGTAGTGATGCCATCAACTACCACCGGCTAACAACCCCTATGCAGAACCTTTGAATACGTGTGATACCGATGCTAAAACATCATAGGTGCGGACTCATCGAGCCTATCTGTCTATTTTTTTAATGATAGGGCAAGCCGGCTTATGCGCAGGTAGATGTACAACAGTTGCATGTATTTTCACAATACTTCGCTTGTTCTAAATAATAGCTGACGCTACAACACTGTCGACGTAAAAGAAACAGGGAACTATGTGAATGACCTCGACTTCGTAGCGTTAACAATTGCCAAGCTACTTGTATATAACCTTCGAGATCTATGTATGTCTTTACGCATCTTGCGTACAGGATACTTATTACGTGTGTGTGTTTATTACACAATCAATTTCATCAGCTTTTGCTCAATATGTGTATTTTTACTAGTACAAAACGCCTACCAGGGAGTTATAAACTTATTTGTATATTCTCATAAAAATCATGACTACCAAGGATCCCGCGTAAAATGTCTCATTTTCTAAATATAGACATCCAACTGCCATTGGTAGGTCATTTCAGGTCTATTAATAGTTCGCGAATGGAAGCACGTGCACCTTGTATTACCATTTGATGCGGAAGTAAATAATGTTTCACCTGTACACCACTTCCCGCGCAAAGCAAGCTTACTGTGTGTGCCCGCAGATAACATAGTCGGTTTCCGGACTCGCACCTACTTAGGACACCAGAAGTCGATTTGTAACCAAACGTCTCTGTAATCAATATCAGAAGGTCCTCAAAATTGTGCATCGACAAGTTTGACCCCCGTCACTACATCAACACTTAATTTAACCGGTGGTTGAAAATGGTTGAAACTGTTAAAGCCACGACAGGCGACGTTGTCGCTGTTGATAGCGATGCTTCGTGTTTCAAAAAGATGAACGTACGAATGTATGTAGCACTACCTCCACAATATATTGGAAATGCTCTCCAAGGAGTTCGAGATTTATTAGACGAGAAGATCTTAAGGTATGCACTGTCTAGATGATCGCCGCATAAGTGTAGTAGTATCACTGTTTAATTTACTATATATATATATATATATATATATATATATATATATATATATATAATATATATATATATATATATATATATATATATATATATATATATATATATATATATATATA